TTATCATAGGGGAGTTCAGATTTACAGATTTAATTCCATTCCCTCATTTTTTCAGCATAAACTTTCATACTTTCAATTACTCATATCATAGTCCATTTCATTTTTCTCACACATCAATTCGTAATCATAATCATATACAAAAATCAAATATCACCATTTCATGCTTCATACAACTCACATAATCGTTCATACAGCACAACCCATACGCAAGAATTAAACTGAATAAGCTTCCCTTACCTGGATCAGGGGTGAATCGTCCTAAGAGTATCAACTTAGGGTGTCTGTCTACAGCTTCTTATCCCAACGATTTCTCACTTCTTCCAACTAAGTCTAACCAAAAACATCAAGAAGGATTTGGAAAGTATCCCTGCATGCAACCAAATCTTTGTTTTGCATGTGACCTAAGAACGAACGGTTTGAGAGGAAAACTTACCAGCTTCAGACTCTGAAACTGTTCGGTCCAAACTGAAGCTTAAGGTGCCGAGAGTATTTTTACGGTTTCTGAAATGGGATTGGAGGAAGAGAATGGTAAGTTACAGAAGAGAGAAGGAGGAGGTTTCTAGAGAGAAGGAGGAGAAATGGAAACTCAGAATTTTGGGAAGAAGAAGGTGCATGCAGAAGAGTGGGAAGAGGGTTTTCAGAAAAATTATTTTTCCTTCCCACGTAAGACGAGCGTCCGTTCCCCTGCTGCCACTTGTATTCCACTAACTGATTCCAGATTCTCGTTTAACGACACCTGGCGTCCGTGTGCAGAGTTTGGGTGCGTTTTTAATGAAATCTGAACAGGGTTTGGGCGCATTAAATGCGATTTAACAGGTGAGGTTTAGGTGTATAATTATGAGGTCTGACATCCAACAACTGGTTGTAAGTTAGAAGACGCCACCTAAATGAAAAAATACTATAAATAATGCAGCATATTCATAAAATACTATAAATAATTCAATAAATCAAAATAATTATTATTTTTACATGTTAAATTATTTTATTATAATTAGTAATTAGAACTTAATTATTATATACATTAGGTCTTAATATTATTATATATTTTTATGTTTTAAATAATATAATACACAAAAACTAACGTTTTAAATTATTATTTTTGTAAACGTTATAAAAATGGGGTTCATAGACTGTATGAGAGTCCAGACTCGTTTTTCACCCCTAATTTTGTTAAAGTTAATGGAAATATTGCACGGCCGCGAAGACCTCGACGAAGCCACGACAGACGGCAAGACGTTCGATGACCTCGGCCTAGCGGAGTGGGTCGTTAGTACGTGCCGGGAGCTTGGAATGCGGATGCCACGACACGTGCATCAACGTTGCATACTGCCTGTGCTAGAGGGCCGACACGTGCTTGGCATCAACGAGCCTGGGAGCGGAAAAACAGCGGCCTTCGCTCTTCCGATCCTGCATCTTCTCGTTGAGCACCCCTTTGGCGTTTTTGCACTCGTAGTGACGCCCACGCGCGAACTAGCGCTTCAGCTGGCGGAGCAGTTCCGCGTTCTGGGCTCTACCGTGCACCTCCACATCACGGTTGTGGTAGGCGGCATGAATATGCTCAAGCATGCGAAGGATTTGATTGCAAGGCCGCACCTCGTCATTGCCACACTTGGGAGAATCCACGTCTTGCTCCATGAGAACACTGATATTTCTCCTGTTTTCTCCAGAACCAAGGTAGTGAGCTTGTAATTCGATTTGCAACTGCGTTTGTATAAGCAGTTCGGTGTTGGTCTAGTTTTCAATTTATAGATCAAAAATTTTAAAACCAAAACTTCAAACAAAATTAATCTCGTTTAGGGTTGCACATTGTTCGAATATATGAACCCTTGGAACTCATTAAATGGATTTAGGTTCATAAACCCTAATTATTCCTCCCGTTTTATGAATGACCTGATTTAAAGCAGATAAGCATTTTAATTATACTCTTTTACCTATGGTATTATTCATAATTATATGAATTAATATTTGACTTATGCCGCTGCAGTTTCTTGTCTTGGATGAAGCAGATCGAATTCTGGATGCTTGTTTTCAGGAGGAATTGAAATTTATCTTTCAATGCTTACCTGAAAATCAACAAAATCTGTTCTTTTCTGCGACAACTACAAGTAATCTGCAAAAGTTGCAAGAACTTTACCAAGATAAGATGTATGTCTATGAGGCATATGAAGGTTTTAAAACAGTTGAATCACTTAAGCAACAAGTGATATTCATTCCTAAAAAGGTGAAGGATGTATATTTGATGCATATCTTGTCAAAAATGGAGGATATGGGAATTCGGTCTGCCATCGTGTTTATCTCAACATGTAGGTATATTTCTACATTGTATGTTTAGATTCTTTGTTACCAATTTTGTTTTCTATATTATGGTTTGTTATTCATTTTTATGCGACGTCCATATCTATATATTTTTGTGGTGCTATAGGAAAATGTGGCCTCTTTTAGGTTCTATTATATTAAACAATCACACCTGATTTATTTGTTTGATGCTTTTGTTTTCGTTAGTTGGTTCCTGACTTGATTATTAATATCTAAATATCCAATATCAGAATTTTATGCTTTTCTTCAATAAATTATTAGGCTGTTATTTTTTGTTTAGCTTCCCTGTCCCAACCTGCAATGAAGTAAAAAGGGTAAACATTCTCATTCCAATATTATTATGATGAAATTTGACTGTCTGTTATTGCATTTCTTTTTCTTTTGTCGACTGTTTATGATGGACTCAATTGAAGCTTATTGTTGTGGACCGTTGTCTAATTGAATCTGTTTGTGGTCTGGTGATATAGTTTCGTGTAATGGTATGACATTCAGTAAATAATTAAAATTTGTGATGTTACAAGAAAAAAAAGTTGTTGCTGTTTGACAATGAAAATTTGGAACTATATACTTTTATTTGGCAAACTGGTTGGACTTGAAATTGGTTTTGGTGTCTCTACTTAGAAAATAGATATTGGACAAACGCAGGATTTCTACTTTCTCTGGTATGCATTCCATGCAGCTGAGAATGGAGGCAATTATTTTAACGTTATGAATTTTTCAATATAGGTTTCTTAGTTGATGGGTGAACNCTGTTCATTCTTAATAACTTTTCACTTTAATATCATTTTCATATTCCGTTCTAGTTTCATAAAAAGATGAGCGTTCAACCCTCTTCATAACAAGGACGAACATTAAAGACGAGACCGAGAAAAACTCATTTCCGAGCAGAATAAAGCCGACACATGTTATTTGACGAACGTCATTACGACTTGAATCAGTTAAATGAACTGACTCTAGTACGATCCGAATAATACTTAGAATATGTCAAGTACAAGGGCTCTAGGCCGAATCCAAAAGGATATAAACACCACCAGACGAATAAAGAACTATACCGAGATCAATTCGCTTAAGAAAACCGACTGCCCGTCAATGACCGAACGCGGTAATACACCTTTACTAAAACATTTGGACGAACGCTATTTACACCCGTTTGATAGTTAAGGCAAGGACGAGCGTTCGGTATAAGACCGAGCGCCACTCATAACGAACGCTTTGAGTCCAGACCCATCGCTGCTTAAACTCATAATAGAAAATAGAATAAATGTAATACGAGATGGTGAAATTGGGATTTAGAAATGACTAAGTGTCCAAAGGTATATTTTCAAGCTTCTCAATTCCTCACACAACACTCAGGATATCCACGTTTGGCCGAACGCTCAAACGTAGCACTAATATAAGAGGGTGTTCGTCCTCAACCAGAATTCTTTCCAAATGAAAGAATTCAATTTCAAAGAAGTTCAATGACAACACCGAACGGTCAATGACCGTTCAATGACGAACGTACGTTATCATAGGGGAGTTCAGATTTACAGATTTAATTCCATTCCCTCATTTTTTCAGCATAAACTTTCATACTTTCAATTACTCATATCATAGTCCATTTCATTTTTCTCACACATCAATTCGTAATCATAATCATATACAAAAATCAAATATCACCATTTCATGCTTCATACAACTCACATAATCGTTCATACAGCACAACCCATACGCAAGAATTAAACTGAATAAGCTTCCCTTACCTGGATCAGGGGTGAATCGTCCTAAGAGTATCAACTTAGGGTGTCTGTCTACAGCTTCTTATCCCAACGATTTCTCACTTCTTCCAACTAAGTCTAACCAAAAACATCAAGAAGGATTTGGAAAGTATCCCTGCATGCAACCAAATCTTTGTTTTGCATGTGACCTAAGAACGAACGGTTTGAGAGGAAAACTTACCAGCTTCAGACTCTGAAACTGTTCGGTCCAAACTGAAGCTTAAGGTGCCGAGAGTATTTTTACGGTTTCTGAAATGGGATTGGAGGAAGAGAATGGTAAGTTACAGAAGAGAGAAGGAGGAGGTTTCTAGAGAGAAGGAGGAGAAATGGAAACTCAGAATTTTGGGAAGAAGAAGGTGCATGCAGAAGAGTGGGAAGAGGGTTTTCAGAAAAATTATTTTTCCTTCCCACGTAAGACGAGCGTCCGTTCCCCTGCTGCCACTTGTATTCCACTAACTGATTCCAGATTCTCGTTTAACGACACCTGGCGTCCGTGTGCAGAGTTTGGGTGCGTTTTTAATGAAATCTGAACAGGGTTTGGGCGCATTAAATGCGATTTAACAGGTGAGGTTTAGGTGTATAATTATGAGGTCTGACATCCAACAACTGGTTGTAAGTTAGAAGACGCCACCTAAATGAAAAAATACTATAAATAATGCAGCATATTCATAAAATACTATAAATAATTCAATAAATCAAAATAATTATTATTTTTACATGTTAAATTATTTTATTATAATTAGTAATTAGAACTTAATTATTATATACATTAGGTCTTAATATTATTATATATTTTTATGTTTTAAATAATATAATACACAAAAACTAACGTTTTAAATTATTATTTTTGTAAACGTTATAAAAATGGGGTTCATAGACTGTATGAGAGTCCAGACTCGTTTTTCACCCCTAATTTTGTTAAAGTTAATGGAAATATTGCACGGCCGCGAAGACCTCGACGAAGCCACGACAGACGGCAAGACGTTCGATGACCTCGGCCTAGCGGAGTGGGTCGTTAGTACGTGCCGGGAGCTTGGAATGCGGATGCCACGACACGTGCATCAACGTTGCATACTGCCTGTGCTAGAGGGCCGACACGTGCTTGGCATCAACGAGACTGGGAGCGGAAAAACAGCGGCCTTCGCTCTTCCGATCCTGCATCTTCTCGTTGAGCACCCCTTTGGCGTTTTTGCACTCGTAGTGACGCCCACGCGCGAACTAGCGCTTCAGCTGGCGGAGCAGTTCCGCGTTCTGGGCTCTACCGTGCACCTCCACATCACGGTTGTGGTAGGCGGCATGAATATGCTCAAGCATGCGAAGGATTTGATTGCAAGGCCGCACCTCGTCATTGCCACACTTGGGAGAATCCACGTCTTGCTCCATGAGAACACTGATATTTCTCCTGTTTTCTCCAGAACCAAGGTAGTGAGCTTGTAATTCGATTTGCAACTGCGTTTGTATAAGCAGTTCGGTGTTGGTCTAGTTTTCAATTTATAGATCAAAAATTTTAAAACCAAAACTTCAAACAAAATTAATCTCGTTTAGGGTTGCACATTGTTCGAATATATGAACCCTTGGAACTCATTAAATGGATTTAGGTTCATAAACCCTAATTATTCCTCCCGTTTTATGAATGACCTGATTTAAAGCAGATTTAGATAAGCATTTTAATTATACTCTTTTACCTATGGTATTATTCATAATTATATGAATTAATATTTGACTTATGACGCTGCAGTTTATTGTCTTGGATGAAGCAGATCGAATTCTGGATGCTTGTTTTCAGGAGGAATTGAAATTTATCTTTCAATGCTTACCTGAAAATCAACAAAATCTGTTCTTTTCTGCGACAACTACAAGTAATCTGCAAAAGTTGCAAGAACTTTACCAAGATAAGATGTATGTCTATGAGGCATATGAAGGTTTTAAAACAGTTGAATCACTTAAGCAACAAGTGATATTCATTCCTAAAAAGGTGAAGGATGTATATTTGATGCATATCTTGTCAAAAATGGAGGATATGGGAATTCGGTCTGCCATCGTGTTTATCTCAACATGCAGGTATATTTCTACATTGTATGTTTAGATTCTTTGTTACCAATTTTGTTTTCTATATTATGGTTTGTTATTCATTTTTATGCTACGTCCATATCTATATATTTTTGTGGTGCTATAGGAAAATGTGGCCTCTTT